TCATTTCTAGTAGCTTTTGAGAATGGTGTGTGACACATTATCGTGTAACGTTCTTAGGTATTCACACAGAATAGTAATATTCATTTTATTTATTGTTGTAAACACATTCTCTCAACAGTTACCTCCGATTTTTGCGCATTCCTTGAATCTTCGCTTAGACACAGTGGCTCCCATATTATACGCTCCCAGTCTCGTTTGGATAGCCATTGTTAGCTTTACCCGGAGCTCCTGCATGTCATTGTCTGTCGTCAGTGGTATTTTTTAAATATAGCAGGAAAAATCTCCCCCTCCACATGAACAGACACCTCAACCTTGGATACCCAGCCGACAAATAACAAAGTAAAAATCAAATGTTTAGAAAATTACCTTTTGGTAAATGTAGCACTCAACTGTCACGAATTTAGTTCGATTGAGGTACTTACTAGCAAAAAACGAGTTGTCGGAAATCCTTCCATCTAGTATGAAATTCTTCAGCAGTTTTATTTGTACATAGTTTATGTCATAGGGCTATGGGTGAACATTGTTAGAGGATTCCAATGCTGGTATGACAAATATTTGTAGCATTTTCTAATTTTTCAATAGTATTTCAAATGTGATGTTGATCAGTACAGTTGGTTGATTATTGGGAAGTGATCAGCGTCAGGCTTGTCTATTCCTTCAATGGTGATCGAATTCTACCGACTAGGTTGTAGTGGGGGTACTGCTACAAGTGGCGCGAGATTACCGTTCATTATGTTAAGATGCCATTAGGTTTTAGGTAGTTGGCAGAAAACCCTGTTTGACCCATATTTAAAATAAGAAAAATCAACTCAGTGAAGAGTTCTTTTTTCGGGGAATTCATTTTCCAAGCTGTACAATCGTAAATACTTATTTATCTTTCAGGATGATAATAATTATAATAACAGTGATAATGAAATTCTGTTAAACATGGTGACAGTGAAGTAGAACAAACAACGTTCTTAAAACGTTATTTTCGTCAGGGAAACCTATAATGATTTTATTGTTAAGGGTTTGAATATTCATCATAAAGATAGATAGGGTAATTATAATTGAGAAAAGAAGGCTCAGCATAATAAGATAAAATGCTGAAATTGAGACGAAATGTAATCTTCAATAAAGGTAATTCTTGTTAATAAAGGTTTTCAAGGGAAAGTATTCAAAGAAACTAACAATTGTCTATAATCAACTAAAACGAACAAAGTAAATACCACAAAATGATCGAAGTATATCCTCAGTTAGATCACGATGGACGAAATTAAAAATGATTATACTTACTGTCATCCATTAAATCAAATGTGATCTTTGAGTTCAAAAGTGATACATCCAATTATGATAATTAGAAGTAATTGAATTATAATACAAACTAGGTATCCCAGAAATGACGCAATTGGATCAAGAAGTACTAAATAAGCGCGAACGAATGTACTGTATTTGGAATTCAAAATCAAGCATCCGACAATCACAAAGGAATCATTATTTCATACAAACACCACACCCATCCTTTAGTTTACCGTAGTCCTAACATCTTCTTGATAATTTACAATTTATCCTTCGACATGTGTCGGTTCATATATTTTATCTTCCTCATGATTGTCAAGCGAAGAGTTATCTTCTCTATCGCTGTTACTTACGTTTATTTCGTTCTTATTACCCCTTAATTATTAAGTTATTTAGATTAAATTTTAGTGCCACTATTATTGACATAACGATATGACTATAAATACGATCATACAATCCCAGTAAACGATTTCATCGAAAAGAAAATTCTCTTCGTTAGAACATCCCCCATATTTTATGATGAAGTTCAGTCAATTTATTATTCTTAAAACGTTAAAACAAGCAAAAAATACAAGGCTTTAGAAGAGTTGCAATAACTTGTGAAGATTGAGTTGCATACAAACTCGAAAGAAAAAATTTATGATACCCAAACATAGAAGTTGTAAATAACAATATATATATAAACAGAAAACTCATTCCATTAGTAGGCGGCCGTAGGATATTCAACATTCTTCACTTTATACTAATGAGAAACAAGGGTTTTAGTTCAACACCTTTATGTATGATTTTATATTTTAAAAAAGGCATTCTTTTCTTTAAAGTTGTCTCTCATTATTATTACATCTAGTTAGAAATAAAATAATTCAGTAATATTTTAGATTGTTATTGGTAGTCAAATATACCTGGATGGAGTAGTGTTAAGTGCTGGGTATAAAACTATTCTAGTCTAATAAAATAACAAAGCCTGAAGAAACACTTGCGCGTAAAAAACAGGAAAATAGTGACCCTGACGGCTAATAAGAAACCACTTTTCTTGAAACTGCAATTCAATGGTGATCTGTCTAGCGATGTATTACGAGATAGATTGACTAAATCAGTAAAGAGAACGTTTAATGCTGCCAACCTCTGCCTATCTTATTCGACCCGATCGATGGTGATTCCGCAATTGAAGGATAAGTTACCTGGTTATGCCACTTCTATGTGTATCTACGAATTCAGCTGCTCCTGTGGAGAAAGCTATATCGGGCGCACTACCAGGCAACTGAACCAACGAGTTAGTGAACACCTCCCTTCGTGGTTAGGAAAAGGCTATGTCAAAACAATACGCAGCTCGGTTCTATCACACTTGATCGATAGCGGTCATATAGTGGACAGAAACAAGTCGTTCAAAGTTATTTATCGGATTCCCACTAGTTTTCCTTATGGTGTTCGATCTCGTCTCTTACACATAGCAGAAGCTATAGGAATCCGAGCCAACAAGCCAAGTCTTTGTGTCCAGAAGAAATTTGTAACTCCCTTATCTCTCCCTTGGCGTTAAGTAATAAATGAATGTATTTATTTATTTATTTATTCTCTTCGTTTATTATTTTTCTTCACACCCTCCTACCACTTTATTTTCTCTCAACTATACGTTTCATGGTCCAATTATCTGAACATTTCTTATTACGTCATCTTATAATTTTGTAATTGTTATCTCAGTTTCTATATTTTCTCCTAATCATTGACCTATTTCAGATTATGTAACATTGATTTGAACCTTTATTATTATTGCTTATCAAAAACTAATGCACCTGTTGTCACACCATCAATTTGTACTTTTCACATTTTACTTATTATGTAATCTTTTCCATTGTTATCATTGACTTATAAACTACCTTGATTGGTTTAATAATTTCATATATGCATATAAATATTACTGTATATTAGAGTAAAGCCTGATGAGGATCTAATCGAAAACAATATTGTTCGCTTATATATGTTGTTCTAAAGCCTAAGACGATGATGAGTAAAAAGACAAACAACTCTGGATAGTTTCGTCATAAGTTCACTACTTATTGAGCTTCGCATATTGGAGGCTCCGGTACTAGATGAGATATAAGATATTTTGAAGTGAGACTTTAGTTCGGAGATCAGTCGGACCACAGTCCTTCACAATACTAATTCAATCAGTCACAATATCAAATCGCTATTATTCACGTATTTCAAAGATAAAGATAGTGGGCAAATTTTAAGCGCTTCCATCCAACTACAGAGACATATCTTAATTAACAGCCTAGATTATAGAATTTCAGGGCTATTCGTACTATACGGGTAGAAACTATCCATCGGAGTGAAATGCTTTCACTCGACACGATCTATCTTCATGGACAACTCAGACAAAAAGTCAAACACCCACCCTTGAGTTGATGAGAACCAGGTATAACAGTCATCTCGGTCCGTTGGCGAGTAAATAAGCCGAAAGCTGATATTCGCAAATCATTTATTATTAGGAATTATTCTATTTTTCGGTTACTAATTTGAATACTATCGTATTTTTTTGTCTAGATAAGAAACACAGTATCCTGGAAAGCGGTTATGTTTTATATCAGTTCATTCAGGGAGTCACGTCAATAATCCGGTCTCGCGGGAAGCCATCACTCAGCTACTTTTTATTTATCAGTCAACACTCTATTCAGTCATCTGAAGGATAAAAAAACGCTTACACTCTTCGAATTCCTTCTCATAGCGAAACCCCCGTAGTTTACCCATAAAATCAGTGTGTTTTTTATTTTAAACCCTCGACATTGGGGAAATAATAATTACCGATACAAACCCTAAAATTAAGAATTACGCCTGATCATTTCGTAGCTTTCTGACAAATGAGTGACTGACGTAAACCTAATAGTCTTGCAATTCTTAATGATCAACTGTGTCAAGACGTGATCCCAAATTATTATAACGGGTGTTCCTAACTACATTTTCTTGTCTAATAGTTTCACCTGTGTTATCCAACTAACCAGACAGGCAACAAAGTAGATATCTATGCGTTCATTAATTAAAAAGAAAGTGGAGTACGAAGTTAACTGGGACCCACCATATTTGGTTAAAATAAATTATAGTCATTACAACTGATAAACAAAGAGAACCGTGTTTTAGGCGAATTATCTAAGTGGCATGAATAATGTGCATAGGAAAAGTAACCAAGTTATAAATAACGTACATCCCGACAAAATGTATATCAGACTAAGCTGTAGACTTTTACATTAGTACATCAAGAGAAAATTAACAAGGTGGTGGTTTATGAGTTAAAGCGCCTATCTACCAACTCATAAGATGCAGGTATTTGTCGCTCTATAAAGTTGACAGATCTCGCTGAATAAGTAAAGTGACTTATTCGCTCAACAACTTTAGTCCCTATTCTTTAACTAGGTTGTGTAGATCAGTTTTAAACCACCTTATATTTGACGGATGTCAGTTACATGCCAAATCTTCTCAGGTTTTCATCTGAGGAGTTTGAGAGACCCTACATTTGTTTGAAGCTTCTACCTAGTAGCACTATGATGTCTGTACACTTTAGGTTCACCATGCAAAATGTGAGCAAACAACTGGTCTCAGAAAATTTTGGGCAAAACGAAATTATTCCTGGAGACATAAGTAGAGAGTAACAATATAATATTGTGCTGCATCCCCATGTATGATTAAATTACCAGTATATCTTAGAAATCAAAACGGCAAAGATTCTTGAGTATGTACATTCTTAATGATTTATTATTCTTTTACAATTTTTAGTGAACGGGGTTCACAAGACGATACTTTCTCAATAGCTTGTTTTTCCACTGATTTTTTTAATAATTTCTCCATATGCTTTTTCATTTCATGAGCTTCTTTTAGTCTTTCTTTTTTTGGTTTTATAACACGAGTCCCCTTGCGCAGTGGTTTGGCGGATTGTTTCTGTAAAGACCTTTCACTTTTACCGGATTTTACTCCTTTGGGTAATTTGGTTTTGACTTTAAGTTTTCCCTGAGCCATACCGATTATATATATATATTTGAAAGACCAATACTGTTCAAGATATATTAGTTTTCAGACAATTAAACGGATGATCTGAAAAAGTAACGAAAGGAGAATAAATTCGGAACATTTAAATATAAGAGTACCTGATCAAATGTATGTTAGTTTGAGGAAGTGATCACTTCTGAGTTAAAGGAACAATTACACCAATCGATCCCTGGTTTTTAAAAGTAACGATTTAATTTCTATTTGGAATTTGGCAAAATTAATTATAAAGTACAGCTTAAAGCATTGAGCTGGTACTATATGTTGCTGTACTTTCAGACTTAAAATACATTATTGACATCAAATCTAGTATAAAACCAGACGGGTAAAAAAATGGTATGCTTGTATATTTGTTTAAATATAAGCTAACATGGTACTATTCAAATAATTAGTTATGATTCTTTAAATGAATTTATTCGTTCTCCATTGAACATTGGAGATTCTTGGAAGCAATTGGAAGTTCTCTGATAATGTAGCATCAAAATAAAGTGCATTATGGTTTTAAATCAACTAGCCTAGTTGACATACCAAAACAGAATTGATTATTATTCTTACCTAATAGTGTGAACTAGTGGATCTAATTGGTTTCTCTCTTGTATGCAAAAAAATCAATATTACAAAGTCATACACGAGATTTCGAAAACGATTTCATGGAAATATAAAAATGAAGTAACACCGCAGTTTTATTGACTAGCAATCTTCTTAGGAATTAACGACTATCTTGTGGTTTGTTAGAGAAGAGTCACATTTCGTATCAGTTGTATTATATTTTCTGTTCATTAAATGAAAGAAAACGCATAAATACTATCTCCTAAAAGATCAGACAATCTGATACATTTTGATATTCACAGTTTTTGTACTTTATTTGGTTTATATGACACTGTGTTATTGATAACTATACAAAGTGAAACCTGAGTAATCTTTTGTAAGCAGTCATTTTGTCACAAACAGAAATACAATGAAAAGGACTTATTGAGGCTTTGATCTGGCTCCATATGAACGGTTGATAATGATGATAACGAAACATATAACCCACTTAATCTAATAAATATTCATCGACTTAATTCACGTTGGTAAATAGCGGAAAAAATTAGTCAGATACTATATTTCTGGATACATATATTCCATACATCCATTAAAGAAGGCGGACAATAAGAGGAACGAAGCGGATCGGAGATAACAGACGTGTCAAGTCAATTTCGTCAGGCATAGCTCAACATTTATATCCATACAGAAAAGACGAGCCGATGTGACGAAGAGTAAGTGATAAACACAAGCACACATACGCCCAAACATAAAGACAATCAGGGTTATAGAAGAATAACTAGCAAGACCAAATGTATGTGTGGATAATGACTCAAAAGAAATAGATCAATAAGTCTCCCCAAAATCTAGAATAATCCACGTACGAGTGAAATAGTACTAAATGATACGAACTAAGCAAACTTCCGTGCGTGGTCTGCAAAACTGGAGGGTCTTATATTTAACACTTGGAGGTGCAGATGATTAATCTTGTGATTAGGCACATAAACAATGTACAAGGAGGCACCAAATAGATACGCGCCACACCATTCGATTTATGTGGGGTCTAGAATACTACCCGAGCGCCCAAACCAAAGAACGTGGTTCTTTTAGGCCACTCCTCAAGCTTTTGACCTAGAGGTCTAGTCCACAAAGCGGTGGAGCAACGTAAGGAGATTCAGCCACATGGTAGTTGGTGACCAACAATAGGTCCGCACGCCATTTGTTCCCTCAGGACCCAGGAACCCATGTGCATCATTGGTTTGGAATCAGGGTTTACAACCTCCCTAGGTGAGCCAACCAGATTAAAGCGCCGGACATTCACTTCTTGTACTCCCAACTTCGCAAACAACAACCCTGCCGCGAGAAGGCAGTGAGTAGGACTTCTCTAGCAGTGGCTGTATACGCGCGGCCATATGGGAGCATTTTGAGGGAGAGTGGACTCTGCTCACCATTGGCCGTACCAGGGTATATTACACCATACAAGTTTGTGGACTTCAGTGTTATCACTTTATAACAACTCCAGAGCTAGTATAAGGGTCATTACATTAACATCCCCTTGAATTTCGAAAGTATTCAAAAATGTTTAATTTCAAATGCTAAGCACTAGGGGCAGAGTATGCATTACAGTAGGAGTTTATCATATAATTGTCTGTACTATGATGCATACTGGTCAATGAGTTAGTGAAAAAAACACTGTACACCTGAATTGCCCCCTATGGAGCTAGGAGTTGAAAATCATCGCTTATTGTAGTACGGTGGTTGCAAAAGTTTCTAGAACTATTAAACTTATGGGTATTAATTCCATTTGCTTAGATATCAAACTGATTATGACGTTTTATATCCTTCCCTTGTAATGAATACAGAGCGAAGCCAACAGTGAGTAGAAAACATTTAAAGGAACGCGATTAAAATAGATCACAAGAACTGTGAACCTTTTATACAATGCTAGATTACCCGAGAAGTTCAGTGTTTTAGACGTGGATATAGACCTGACGTAGCTTTTTATAACCAGTGAAGGTAAAATGTATGGTTGTTAGATTGTGGTGAAAAACATAATTACAAATACTAACTGCTAGTCCTAATTTCGAACCGTTTTTTTGAGCATATATATGCTCTCCTTGTCAATATATTTATTATCGCACCCTAAGTTGCACACCACATTAGCAAACAGTGTTCGGGTATATCTTAACTTCTTATTAGGTTACGAAAAGCGTTACGGTAGCGACCAATTAATCTACAAATGTGTATAGTTTAAAGCACATTGTAGAGGACGTTATAGAATCTGCTTCGGTCTGGGCACCCGGGCAGTATCTCAGCCCGCACACAAAAACATGTGTGTGGCGCATATATATTTGGTGCCCTTTTGTACCAATATTTATGTGTCCAAATAAATCAATAAATAATAAACGTTATAGGACATGGAAGTTTAGAGTCGTTCTCTGCCTTTCCTTTTGAATCATACATGAGGAAAATTAGGCGTTCAGTACACTGCGGATTTGCTGCGGCTAAACAAGCCGCACAGCGATATGCCGAAGAAGTTTACTTTCAAAGTATACTGAGTCAGGATATGGCTGACAATGTCACTGGGCCTGAGGTAACTTATGATTCTTCCAAGGAAATCATCAGTTACAGAAACTCAAAGCTATCTACCACAAGGCCGGACAATGTAGTTATCGCCAATAGTCGGCCAGGGTTCGTCACAAAAATAGCTGATGGAGGTCGAATTATGAGGTTATTATCCCCCTTTTGCATACATTCCAATAGGGAAAGTGACATCATTTCTCAATTGCTGTCGCAAATATAGTACTTTAGCCAGTAAGTGTCTGTTGGTTAGTGATTTTGCGTCATCCATCAGGAAGTGTTAGTAAATTTTCATGAATGTAATAAATTTTCCATTTTTAACGCCTTGGCATTCATTTATAGCATCTTTCCGGAAAATACATCGTGGTTAATGATAAGGAGAAAAAACAAGTTGTTTGCATCCTAAAGAAATGGCTGCTGAACAATGACCATTTCCTTTATCGTGATGATGTGACTGAAAAGGATGTCACTGAAAGTGTCGACTTTGATAGTCGCTTCAGTTTGAGAAAATGCACGGTGATGCATCGTTGTGGTCAGTTGTAATCACTTTAAATTCATTGTTTTCAGATGACTACAATGTAGCTGAAGAAGTCAAAGTATGTTTAAGAACAGTACTCGGCTACAATACTGACATTCGGACAACTGATGAGACGGTGCCGTGTGCAGTGGAAAAGCCACAAAGGTAGATTGTCTAACTTACTAAATCAATTTTGTGTTAGGGCTGCCAAACGCAAACTAGCCGACTATCCATGCACCTCTGAAGAACTAGAGGTTGCTGAGGTTGAATCTGGATTTGCCCCAGTGCAATTTCGAGTTGTCAACATTTTGTCAAGAACATTTTCTCCTATAGCGAGGTATGTACCTATTTAATCAATACGCATATAGTGGTTCATCGATACCTGACATTTCATCACCACTAATTCCATCTACATCAACGGAAGTTAACAAACCGTAAGTTGCGTTTACTTTATTCCTGATAACAAAAGGTTGTCCTATGATACAAATAAAGTGTTAAGGCGCATTCTTGTACCAATATTTATGTGTTCAAATAAATAAATAAATAATAAATCACTGAACTGTCTAGCAAGATGGGTATAGTGATCGCTTATGCATGGCTGTAATTGACAGACGTACGGAGGAAATGGATACTGATGCTATCACTTTCCCATTGAGAACACATGAGGAGTTGCGTTCTTTAGAAGCTGCTTTAGACAACCGAAATTTCCGGGATCATTTCGTAAGTTGTAACAGGTGTTTGAACAAATTTTAGGTGGCAAGATTATACAACCTACTATGTGATGATCCTCGGGAATCAGCTAAAGCTTGTCTACAATACATCCTTTCGCTGGAACTAGCTAACACTTACACTGGTAAGACTCTAATTTATGGACGAGCCAATCAGAACCGTTTGAGGAATTTCACGGTCAGGGCGTTAAGTTCAATACGAGACGTTCACATCCGATCGTTTTACGGCAGATTTTAGAGAAGAGGTGACTTTTGAGCGACTACAACAGATGGGACTATTAGGAAGTTCCTGTATCCGTGACTGCGGCAATCAAATGACTGCAGCACGATGTGCAGACTACCGTGATGACATTAGATTTCGTTGTACTATATATTAGAAGATAAAATCTGCTCGAACTGGCACTTTCTTCGCTCGATCACGACTTAGACTAAGGCAAGTCATGATAATTGTTGCAAATTGGATTATGAAGTCACCAGTAACATAGGCTGCGGCTTTTGCAGATGTGCACCCTAACCCTAACCTTAACAAATTTTACTCGACTGTTCAAAGTAGGTCCACAATACAGTATTAACATATTTGTATGTGCTCTGTGTTCGCGTCTCCGAAGTGTGAGCTGTCCGGAAAAGGAGATCATACACGTTATGGGTACTGCAAGCCAGGCTTTCTTGCATAACGCAAGAGATAAAGTACATAAACGTGTATGGGGATCCAAAGAAAGGGTAAGCTAAAACCACTTTACATGTTTGTTATAATACATACTGCACTTTCAACATTACTTTGTGATCTATATTTACACTAAAGCAACTGTTTTCTTGTCCGTCTTGCTTTCAGCTGGCTTCGAAGGTTTGATCAGATGTAACTGTATAATCAAATGTCAAGATATGTGAAACGTTGATGACGTAGCAACAGTATGACAATGTTGTTAATAATGCGAACAAAGAACTTACAGACCAAACCTAGTACAGTGACGCAACAATGGTAACTCGCGGTCTTATGTCCAACACTTTCAAACTGTTCTATGCACATGTAGTCAAAATTCAAATGGTTGTGGAAGCTTTCGCTTAACAGGCTTCCGTGTCTAGTAGCAGGGGATCACCAAATCCTACAGGCAGGAACCTAGGTGTGTTAACAATAAAAGAGAAAAAGAAATTGGTAAATCATAGTGTGATGCTGTCCTTGGTCCTTAAGAATAAATCAAGTTGCCTCTTGAAGGACTCCTGAGAAGTCGCTTGGACTATCTCGGCCGGCAGTGAATTCCAGCTTTTGACAACTCTTAAGGAGTAGAAGTTGTGTCTACATTCCGTTTTGCTATGTTATGTTTCCAGTTTCTGGGTGTTACCCCTTAGGTTATTATTCGAACTAAGCTTAAGTAGGTGTTTAAGAGGATGTCCAAAAGTGTTAAGGATGCTATAAGCCATCAGAAGATCACCTCTATGACGCCTATACTCTAATGGGTAAAGGTCTAGTGAATGGAGGCGCTCTTCGTAAGGTTTAAATTTGAGTCCTCGAATTGATTTCGTGGCTCGCCGTTGGATACGCCCCACAGTGACCTTGTCCTTTCGGAGTGAGGGGGGAGTACTATGTTTCCGTACTCTAAATGGGGACGGATGAAACTATTGAAGATTGTATGGAAAGTTCGTCCGTCAAGCTGTCCAAAAATGTGCTTCAACGTTACCAGTGCAAGGTTTGCTCGGAAGGCATTTTTTTTCACAGTTAGCGTAAGACTTTAAGTCATGGGGCACCAGGACTCCTAAATCTTTTTCGACTTGGGATACTACTAGAGAGGAGTTTCCTAAGTTGTAACTGTAGTTTGCGACATGTCGCAGATGGACTACTTTACACTTTGAAGTATCAAAGGTAGGTCCGTTATCGTCTGCCCAACTTTGAGGTGGAGTCAGATCCTCCTGAAGTGCCTGTATATCGTCTTGGTTGCGTATCTCTCTCCAAAGTTTCACGTCGTCGGCAAAAAGTAATAAGTCTGACGTTACCTGTTGAGGAAGATCGTTTATGTAGATCAAGAAGAGAAGAGGCCCTAGTACTGAGCCCTGGGGGACCCCACTAGGACATTCCATAGCCTGAGATAAAGTGAAATTAACCCTGACCTTAAAGTGTCGATTTTTTAGGTATGAAGCAAGCCAATCGATTAGAGGTGGTTTGATACCTAGTTGTTTGAGCTTATCGATAAGACCTTATCAAAAACTTTTGAGAAATCAAGGTAAATGATATCAATCTTTTTCTTGCGATCGAGGATGCTTGTCCATCTGTCCGCCGCAGTCAGCAGGTTGGTTATACATGAGTAACCCTTCCTGAAACCATGCTGTTTGGGTGAGAAGAAATTTAAGGACAGTAGATGATGATGAATCGCACTCTTCGTTCGCTAAGCTACAAAAGATACTTCTGGGCGGAATACAAACAAACTGATAAGAACATCGCATACATACAAAACAAACAAGTAAGGAACATATGCCCAAAGGCAATAAGAGAAGACAGGCTACAGTGCCAGATAAAGCTTATCGATAAGTTTTTCTCCGATCCGAAAAGCTTATGCCGTAACGCAACCTCTCTTCGACAAGTCAAAACTGGAGTATTCCAACTGCTATGTCTTGATGGCCCGACCAACAACGACATGACGCCACTGACCTGGTTGAACAGTACCCTCAGAAATTTCATGTACAACTCCATAGTACTTTCAGAATCTGAGCGCTGACATGGTGTACCGGGAACTGCGGCACCCCAAAAGGCACTTCTCCTGGTTTGGATATGGTTCATTCTGCTATACTAAGGGAAGCAGCTTCAATCTTGGCAAGACCGCTTAGAGTGATGTTCTCATATTCGCGGTCAACCATATATGTATTACCAATAAGTTCAAACGATTAGGTATTAAATCACCTTTAGTTGATTGGCTCACTTCAAACCTGAAAAGTCAACCTTTTAAGGTCACGGTTAAATTCACTTTCTCTCAGATTGTTGAATATCCTAGTGGGATCCCTCAGGGTTCAGTACTAGGACCTCTTCTTTTCTTGATTTATGTAAACGATCTTTCACAACAGGTATCATCAGACTTATTGCTTTTTACTGATGATGTGAAACTTTGGAGAGAAGTATGCAAGCAAGAGTGTAGACTGGAACTTGATGAGGATCTGATTCGACTTCAAAGTTGGGCGGGTGACAACGGACTTATCTTTAACGCTTTGAAGTGTAAGATAGACCAGCTGAGATATGTTGCAAACTACAACTTAGGTAACTCTACTGTGGAGGTAACCCAAGTTGAAAAACATTCAGGAGTGTTGGTACCCTACGATTTTAATTCTCACGCTGACTGCGACAAAAGTGCCTTCCAAGCAAACATTGTACTGGTAACATTGAAGCGCATTTCAAGCCATTTCGACGGAAGAGCTTTCCACATTATCCTTAACAGTTTTATTCATCACCATTTAGAGTACGGAAACATAGTATTTTCTCCCTCACTCCAAAAGGATAAGGACACTGCAACGTATCCAACGACGATCCACGGAATCAGTTCCGGGACTCAAATTCAAGCCTTATGAAGAGTATCTCTAACCACTGAACCTTTACCCATTAGAGTACAGGCGTCTTAGATGTGACCAAATGGCGTACAGCATCCTAAATACTCCTGGGTATCCCCTTAGATGCCCACTTAAGCTTAGTCCTAACACAAACATTAGGGCTAACAGCAAGAAACTGGAGACAATACAGCAGAACGAACTGTAGACATAGCTTTCACTCCTTAAGAGTAGTCAAAAGATGGAATTCACTGCCAGCTGAGCTGGTCCGAGTGACTTCCTAGGAGTCCTTAAGAGAAAACGTGACATATTCTTAAGGACTAACGGAAGAATCTTACTATGATTCACCATTTTTTCTTCATCTTTTATCGTTAGTAGACCTAGGTTCCTTCCTGGAGGTATTGGTGATCCACCGCTACCAGATACAGAAGTCCATTAGGCGAAAGCTTTTTCTATTCCGTCCAAAACTATTTGAACCATATGAAAATACACAAACCCACAAATAATCACCAAACCGACTAGAATAAATTCAGTCAAGCGTATTGACTACCAACTTGAAACAGTGCCGATACAACAGGAAGTGAGCGTAAAGAAAACATTTGATTTATCCAAGCTCGTAAAAGGATATTGGATTAGGGATACGCTCTGGAACAACCATTTGACTAGTACGTTACAGTTGGTTTTTGGCAAGTAAAAGTTTTGATATAGACAGAACTCATTTGATTTCACTACATAAAGTAAGGTAAGGATTAATTCATCTTTTGTCTTTGGATAAGTGTTATCCATTATGTTGAGATAAGCTGATTAAGAAGTATTTTTGTAACCTACTCGAGCTCCCAAGTTTGGGGAAATTTTGAGGGAATCATCAAAGTCAAATGACCTTGACTGAGGTTAAAGAGGAATTTTGAGGCTTTTGTGCCATTTCTCTAAAGTCTCCTCAAAGTGTACTATGGCGGCTTCCCCAAAATTTTTCTGAAACTTCAAATTTTCCCCAAAATTGGGAGATTAACTATAGCCGATGTTTTGTTGGTCTTTATGTCGAATCTCTACATGAAAAACATGTGAAGGAGAATAATTATAGCCTAAAGTGCGTATAAACTCATCAAAATGCATATTATTTAATATACATATACTGTTTTATTTTACTTAAGTGAAATAAAACAGTATGGTTGTCAGAAAATGTATCAATTTTTATAATGACAATAAATACCATATATTAAAATATGAGGGGTTTTTCCCTGAAATTCCCCTAAACTCCAGGGAAAACTAAGAATTTTCATATGGCTTTGAAGAAAATCTAAAAACCCCCTAGATTTTCCTCAAAATCCGGAGATTGTGTTCCTTGATCTTTGTGACATTGTGAACATATATTTTCACAATGCCAAATATGGTTATAACTATATTTGTATTAAATATGTTTTGTATAAACGTTTCATTATTTGAGACGTATTGCTAGTAATTGTCCATTAAACGAACTGCATCAGGTGAAAAGCAGGTCGTTACTCCTTTGGGTTTGTTTGAACGTATAGGAGTTCCACTTAGATCCAAAAACGCTCATTAACTAAACAATTAGAGGTTTTTATTCTGTTGTCAATGTTCATGTTTTAATTACCAGCAGTTTACCACGCGAACATGTCAATCATGCACATCACTTATCCGTTTTCAACAATTTGGCATAATCATCCAGCTTCCCAACTATGTCTTAGGCGGGGAAAATTTAAAATTCTTGGCCCACAATATTAGGACATACAGTATTTAGTCACTGGATGACTAATTTAAGGCCACTAGGAATTTCAGTGAGCCAGATTCAGTGAATGTACTTCGTTATTTCTTGGGAATGGTTACTTTGTTGCAACCTTTGTTGAACACTTTGAAGGGACATGTTAACAACTTTATGTTATCCTCAAGAGCCAAACTCACTTTCTCTTCCGCAATAACATTAAACTCAACAATAATGCTGTCTTACATGACCCCATAAATTTTATGTACCGACGCGTCACATATCAGTAGGCTCACTGTTTTGTTGAAAGGTTAGCAACTAAATATGATCATCAGCGTTTTTCTTAAGGCATTAGATTCAGCCTGGATAATGGCTAACCAAATCGTTTGTTCGAGCTCTGACTTTGCAACTCCAAGCTTTTACTACCTGAAGTTTTGTATTAATGCGATATAATACAGGGTGCATTACACTGTCCTAGTGGTACGTTGGCTTTGTATTCACTGCGTATTGGCGGACAAGGTCATCAAAATTTTCATTTATAGGGGAGTGTTTGTCGTGATGCCATTTATGCACAGTAGTCCGAAAATTACTTCAGTCACTAACTGGGTGCAGACGTTAATGGGCTTTCCTTTGTTAACATCAGCTAGCAAGTGGTCAGAAAATTGGTTCCCAAAATAAAGTAAAGAACATCAACTATAATGAACATTTAACTGAAAGGACTTCTAATCCCGAGGCATGTAACTGTTCTCTAAAAGTTTTTATCGTCCTTTTTTTTACTGCATTCAATGAATACTTGCCACTATTTATTACTGGTCGTTTGGTTAGTGTAACTAGAATTAGGCTGATTATTGCACCCTTGCACACCAAGAGGTGCGAACCTGAAATCTTATCCAGCACAAAGAAAAGGGGACTAGATAGTTGACAAGCAACAACCGTCACCATTACTACCTGTCCACACCGTTTCCTGACATGCGGAAAGATCTGAAAATTTACATGTAGTAACACTTTGTGACCTTTTTACTACGCCTTTTATAGTAACACCATCCTCATTCTTTAACTATCAGTGTTTTAGGACACTGGCTCTTACTATTCTGGTTTCGGGACCCAGAACGGCATATTCTTGCCGATGTTAGAAATAAACAGTCGCAAACGATCTAAACTCGACACTAGACTAGGAACATTTGTTATGCATTGAATACGAAAACCTAGTAGCTGTGAGGTCAGCGATAAAATTTTCGGTCCTGGTGCATTATTCAGCATGTCCAATATCGTTTAAATGTGATATGCTACTTGTTTATTCCAAAATTATATAAGACTAACAGTTTGTTAGATAAACAGTCTGTTGAGCTCAGGTTGGTAGTCTCTGCATCCATATCTGTTTTGAAAACCCATCAACGTTGTAGGGATCAATCAATTACTTCATTCGATGTAATAACTGGAACGGTTACCCGTCCCCTAGCCTGTGCTCAATTAGTAATTTCTATGAGTTTTCGTCTAACTTGGTGGTGTGTTGAATGATCGTCTGCTTTAGCTCATCATAAACGTAGGATAATGGAACATTATTTGTGGGATCTGAAACTTTCGTGGCTACCTTGGTAGATAATATTTCCAACACAACAGATTGCCTTAAAGCCTATAGATGGATATTCTAACACCGAAGCTGTACCTCAGCGTGTGTGAATCATGTTTCATGGTTAATTCCACTAAACATACGTCCATTCATAGAATTTAGTGCATTCAGCTCTGGTGATATGCTAGACCAGACATACCCACAGGTGTGATTAATATGATCACGCTCTGACATATCCATAAGGAAGTATGCAAAAAACTATTACTATTAGTGAAATTAATGTGAAATTGTATATTCGTGAATTCAAAATTTCAATTTTAGAAAGCGATAGGGCTCATAAGATTTGTAGTTGCCCAAACACAAGGACCTAGTCAAAATATATTGGTACATAAAAACCAATAGTTACATACAAGTGACAAACAAGGAGAATTAAATTCTAAAGAAAGATGCATAATGAATGGCAACATGGTGGTTAATATTACTTGAAAGTCCTTTTTGAGAAGAAACGGGAAATAGGATCGTTTCACTGGGTCGATGTTCATCTATGTGCCTGGTGCATTTAACCAGTAGTGAAAACGTTGTCATGCATCTGCATTATTAATTAGTTATCGAGGTCTCTTGTAGCGAAATATCGCATCTTCCATAAAAATACTGGTGATTTCGGTTTTTCCTTAGGTCGAAAGGCATGTACTCTCTATGTCTCATTTAAAACATAATTATCTGTAATGTTAATTAAATCTACTAAAAGTCAACATTAAAAATATTGAGATCATACAACTATGTTGTATAAAGAGTTTTAAACAATTAGAAGCAATCCTTATTGTCTTTTAAGTTAATACAGAAAGTCGGAGATGAGGATTTCAACTGCAAAGTTTGTTTAAGATATATCACGGAATGTGATAGGATGGAGTTATTTTGCTAAAAAAATAGGGTATTAAATGATTAAAATGAGTACGTTCTGTCAATAAAAATTGAAGCAAAATAAATAGTGTCAATAATGAAGTTGATCATTCTTGTATGTCAACTACCATCCGTTATTATTCTTAATTGTTTTCAGGGCTCTAAAGTTTTCATATAGTACTACGGACCTTATTATGGTTAGTATTACCGTAATATGCACATTTTCGTCTTTCAAGGTTATTCATTATTGGGTTGTCTATTTTATGTAGGGTTAACAATGAAGGTTGGATGTATTCAGACATACGGTAATCAATTCAAAAGATTTTTTTATAAAATAACATTCAAGATGCTTCTATGCTTACCTATGATCATATCGAAGCTTCCAATGTAATACAGTTAGCTAAGGAACTTACAAATACAAAACTACCAACAGATATTGAAGTAAGTAATAAATATAGTGTTAGATATCTTCATCAATGTTACTTCGTTTTTTTTTTGTCTTCAGGTGGAATGGCTGTTAAAAGCAATTTGCTTAATCGATTTAACCACATTAGCTGGGGATGATACACCTGTCAATGTACAAAGACTTTGTGTAAAAGCAGTTCATCCGCTAAGTGAATGCGTTTTGAATAAAATTGAAAATGTGTTCAATATGAACCTACAAGATTTAAGTAACAATCTGTTTTATATAGTTTAACATATCTAATTATCTATCGAATAGGAACAGCTGCTGTATGTGTTTATCCATATCAAGTTAAAACATGTGCAGAAACTTTTAAGAAATTAAAATTACCAAATTTTAATATTGCTTCTGGTTAATTATCTTTTTAAATCTAATCTTTAACTATGATAACTACAGTTGCTACTGGTTTTCCTACTGGACAGTATCCTTTAGAAACTCGGCTATTGGAAATTAAATCAGCTATAAATGATGGAGCGAATGAAATTGATGTGGTAATAAATAGAACATTAGCTTTACAAGGTGATTGGGAAGGTAATTAACAATGTACGAAGTCTCTTTACTGTCCCAATTCTTTTATTAAATTCAATGTCCATATAATTCATTATGCTTTCTTTACTGCACTCACATATAAGTCTACTATATATAACATAGAATTTGGTGATTTTTTGCGAAAGTAAAAAGTGGGGGTGAGTATTTAATTGTACGACCGATTTTTGGTGTTTTAATACAGGAGTTTAAAAAAGTTGACGAACGTTGTGTATATCAGTTCACGAATTTCGAAGAAATTTATGATGGAGAATTTTATTGGTCACTGATTACTATGGTAATGTAACTTGACTTCACCTTACTATATTGTCAATTAAACCGTCAACTCAAATTCGCAAAGAAAGGCACACTTACGATAGACTACTTTTTGATCTATATCAAAAGACAGTATTCTTCGAAATTCTGTGACTTGAAGTGAAGATTTCACTGTTATTTTCTGTCGCAAGCGCTGCCTCACTTCTGTCTTTTGTATGAAAAATAAATCTTTCAACTAAGTTAAAAGAAGTGAAACGGATCGTCTATGTCAAACCGAACGTTATTTAATCAACTTCACATGTATTCTGTCAAACTAGGATGAGATATCTGTCGAGTAATCTCTGATTCTCCAGCTGGAGATGATCTGTGCTTAACTCTATTTTTAGTCCATATAACTATAGAACTCGGTTTGTACTAATTTTTATTTCACTCTCTCTCATTTTCCTAGTTTTGACCAATTTAGGCATAGGTAATAATTTCTGCTATATTTGAGTTTAAAAGGTAATAGTAGGTTTGCACCTTAAATATCTCCTAGTTCATATTTCATGGTTGTAGTTAAATGAATACTACTGATATGTACCAAGAATTAGTGGTAAATAAAATTCACTTTGGTCCAATCTGCTAGGTGTATAACTTGAAAGGTTATCACGGAGTATCTTCCAAATATTCTCACATCTTTTGTTTTTAAATGAACTGTTATATCTCTGATATATTATTGCACAAACAGTAAAGGATTTCATAATAATGATCACGATGATATTTTTAAAACTATGGTTATTTAAAGTGTCTTTTACACTAGTCAATTCCTTGAACAACTTGTTTATTAGGTGTAATTTGATTGGAAACTTAGCTGAGTAGGAATGTCTATCATCCATCTTCGTTTGTGAATGTTTAATTATGGTGTCAGCTTAGAATTTAGTCTTTCCTTCAACAATCCGTCTTATCGTCATTACCAGATTATCATGCTAGACGTGTGTTAACTGGTCATACACATTTGACACATTGTTTGGCCTAAACAAAGCTTTATTAGATTTATGGAGCTTGACAAGTTGAGTGAAGTTTTAATTGACAGACCAGTACATAATGCAGTGGAGTAACCGAAGTTAAAAAACAAAACTTTATTCCTTATTTGTTCTTATGATTTTCTTATTTCACTGATTATTAAAAGTTCGTAAAATCTTTCTCATATTCTAGGAGTTTATAATGAAGTATGTGCGATGCGTAAAGCTTGTGGTGATCAAGCACACTTAAAGACTATTCTTGCTACTGGTGAATTAAGCAGTTATGATAATGTTTATAAGGCTTCAATGGTTTGTATGTTAGCTGGAGCAGATTTTATTAAAACATCTACTGGAAAAGAAACAGTCAATGCAACACTCCCGATTTCATTGGTTATGGCTAGAGCTATTCAAGATTTCAATGAAGTATATGGCATCAAGGTAAAGTTAGAAATTGGCATAGCAAAGATGTTTATGGATTTCGCTTCGTTAAATTCAGTTTGTAGTCAATGGATGATTTTTTTTCGTCTAGACTAAATACTTAGTACCGAACTTCTTAGGATTACATTTACTGCTGTTGTAGGGTCTATTAATAGGTTACAGAGTAGTTATCTTCGCTAATAATCATCTTCAATGTAAATAAAGTATATGGTAGTGTTTATGTGTATTTTAGCTTTATTAGTAGTAATTTTTTCCGATAGCAGTCTAGCTATGTATACTTTGACCGACAGTTTGTAGGTTAAAGGACAACAGTTTCAACTATTGGGTTACGAGTTCCATTTACACCTTAATTGAGGTAATCAAAGAATATCCACTAACTATTAACTCATTTATCACGTACAGATTCGCGTTCTCGTGAAGGTTAGTAATACGTGGTTTCCGAAACTGAGGTATTTGGGTAGGGTTTGAACTTGCGACTTTGCTAGTGAACGTTGAACTCTTTAACTATTGAGGTACCAGTTAAGTCCGGATAAATAAATAACGATGCGTACTACTACCTCACACCAAGTATAGCTTAAAGTCAATTTTTTTTAAAATTTGTACTTAGTAAATAAGTTGAATTAAAGTCTAAAATATGCTTCATTGTGTTAAAGACAGAAGTTATAGAGGAAATAACGTATGTTTTGTTTTTATTCTTCGTGATTAGTTAACCATAACGGTAATATCTGAAAGAGGTTAAGTTGGGAAACTGATATTTTTTATATGTAAGAACAAGAATCAGAATTGAACTGTTCTGTAATCCGCATGATTCATTCATACCATTATCAACAATTTCAATTAGATTACACACTCTTAAGTCCAACTATTTCGTTTTCTGATAAGAAAAAAAACACAAACTTCGTATGATTGTGTTATCTAGACTTGTTAGTTTACATCAAACTGCGAATCTTATCGAGATTTACTAGTAAACTGATGGCTGTGTTATTTTTGATGCAATGCCATATGCCTAAAAATACTAAGCTGACTGTAGGCAGTAGAATTAGATTGTAAATAGAGCATAAAATGTGATCATGATTCATAAAGTCACTGTTTTATGATATGAGTTTAGCAAAGTTGTGCAGATTTCTTGAATAAGATCTTTGTAATAACAAGACTGAGTGGCTTTTTACCCTAAATTTCGTAACTTAGAATAATTCACAAAGGGGAACATACGTTCAATCTTTGTCTTGATAAAAATATTGGTATCGCTTAGTTTGAAATTTGTAAAGTCTGGCAGCTTAGGCTTACGCTTGTTCATATAAGGTGATTCTATGTGTTGACTTTTCTGTCTGAATAGTGTGTTTACTGAATGACTGCTTTACACTACATATTTTCATACGTTATATATAATTACGTTTAGAAAATTGGTTTATTACAGTGTTATATTTTGCATGGAGGATTTTTTATTGATGCGTCGTGTATCAATAGTCCGGTCTATTTATTTCTCATAGATCCCGTTCGTATGAAAAGAATTCTTCGATTGTCTTCTATCGAACCTTTACAAAATAACTCACTAATATTAATAATAATAATATTGATAGAGATCATGAATCGACCAATGTTAGACCACCATTGAACACCTGAAAGTACCGGACGGCCGTTTCATCCTAGTATAGGACTCCTCAAGAGTGCACACCCACAATCCTGCATGTGGGATTCGAACTCAGGACCTTCGGTCTCGCGCGCGAACGATTAACCCCTAAACCACTGAGCCGAGTGTGAAGCAGTTACCCACCGAAAACAATGGAAGATGGTCGCTCAATTTCCTGAATTGGCTGAAGTTAGTTATTAACCCCGTTGGATGCCAGTCCAACGGTCTAGAGGTTGATTGTTCGCGCACGAGACCGAAGGTTCTGGGTTCTAGTTGAGCATGCGTGATCATGGATGCGCACTACTGTTGAGTATAATACTAGGACGAAACGGTCATTCAATGCTCCCAGGTTTTCAATGATCGTCTAACATTGATTGATTCATGATCTCAATCACAATTCAACAATCTACACAACTTTATACTAATAATAATATTAATGGCAATTGATTATTAAAAATAATATAATGCTATATTTGTATGAAATTTTCATGAACTTTAAATGATACATTTGAGAGTGATCAGCTCAACTTTGTTTTGTTGATCTTTTTTCGGTTCATATCTACATATTTACTTATTTATTTATATTTCAACACATGAATATTGGTACAAGAGTGCATTAAATATATATGCGCCACACCATATTTGTGTGTGTGTGGGCTGTGATACTGCCCGGGTGCCCAGACCGAAGCAGGTGGTTTTCTTAGAGGGCCACACCCCGAGCCTTTGACCTAAAGGTTTGACCCACAAGCTAGTGAAGCATCGTGAGGAGATGCAGTCCCATGGTAGCCGGTGACCAACAATAGGTTCATACACCATTTGTTCCCGCAGGATACTGGAGCCCATGTGCACCAATGGTTTGGAATGAGGGTTTTCCAACTCCCCTAGGTGGATTCACTGTGTCCACCGGCCCGGTTAAAGCGCCGGACACTCGCTTTTCGTCCTCTCAATTTCGTAAACAACAGTAATGACACGAGAAGTCACTGAGTAGGATTTCCCTCGCAGAGGCCGTATACACGTGGCCGTGTGAGAGCATTTCGAGAGGGAGGGCGGGCTCTCCCTACTCTCGGCCGTACCAGGGCATTCGGAGGCGTCATTTTGTTAAATTCATTTTGATATTTGATGGATGATTTAGTTTTTGATAAGTCGTATTATCGTTGTGTATAGATGATGGTTTTCACTTCCTACTTACCGTTCAATCATTGGAAACTAAAAATTATTTAGTAACTATTTCATCATAGTATTGGAATTCTCATCAATGAGCGTTCTAAGCTTCACAGGGAGGAGGTTAAACTCTAGACTTTTGGGTTTCAGGGTAGCTGCTTAAGCTTTAGGTCTCTGAGTCAACATTCAAAAATTGGCATTTCTAACGTAAAGTTTGAACGTCTTCAGTTCGAACCCCAGTGGAAGTCTTAAGTGCATGTTGCTGAGAAGCTCCATACCATGACGAAACAGCTGTCTGGTGCTTTCTGGTTTTTCAATGGTTATCTAACTTGGGTCAGTCAGTGATGTAAACTATAGAATTTGAGTCTCCACAAGTTTTTCATACTAATAATACTCAATCATTTAATCAGTTGTTTTATCTTTTAGTATTTACGTTTAATTGAAATTTTGGGAAAGGTTCCGTAAGCGCGTTATTCATTGAATCTTCTCAATCCTTTACTCAGTCATAACACATTTTAGCTTTGCATACAAACTATTTCATATATGAATGTTTTCGCTTAGAAATCGTCCATGATATTACTCATTCATTTCTGAAGCTGATCAAAATACTCACTTAAACAATATTTTACTGCCTTGAAATCCATTCTATGAACAAATGATTGGTTCGACTTCAGTTATTTTAGCATTTTTATCAAGTCAGCTCAGTAGTTATTAAACATACATAAAATCGGTCAACTTACATTAAAAAAATGTTATGTACATTCACTTTTTATTACCCATTAACTATCAGTCTAATTGAAAAGTTTCGTGGGAATTTATTATATTTGTAGGTTGTATTCGTCACAGATAGTCTCATTTAGTGTACCATTAAACGGCAGGGCTCATAGGACGACTGGTTTATCTCACTAGTGAGCATACTCGACCCACTTAGGGATCATCGAATTATATCCTGAATTAAAACTGTACTATGGGACTTGATATAACGATTCTAATGGTTAACCATTCACAGAGACCTGAAGGTCCTGGATTCGGTCAGTATGAATGTAGTGAGTGCCCACTTTTGAGGATTCATACTAGAACGAAACCGTTGTTCAGTGTTTTCTTGTTTTTCAATGTAACTTCAATTGTCATCAATTTGTAATCAATACAATTTATCAGTTTAAATGTTTGGAATCAATTATTTAAACATTTACTTTTAATACTTATTCCTTAACAAACTATTTAGGTTGGTTTCAAACCTGCCGGTGGTCTTCGTACAGCTAAAGATGCCCTCGATTATCTCCAATTAATCGATAATGTTCTTGGCTCTGATTGGATAAATCCAGATTATTTACGATTTGGAGCTAGTTCATTATTGGCCAATATTGAAACTCGACTATACAGTCTATGCCATAATGGTTTAATACCATTACCTGGTGAATTAGACTTTTTCTAATTTTTGATTACCTTTTTTCTTCTTCTTGTTTTCTTTCAATTTATTCGATTTGATTATTTTTGATGATTATGTTTGCCTTAATTTTGTTGTTGTTGTTGAAAAAAGGTCGTTTCTATCAAATTTTTTTTTAAAAATTTTGATAAACCAAACGCTATTTATATTTTGTACACATTTCGTTTTGACTATAAAAAGAATACAAAGAGGTGTGGTGATAAAAGTAGAGAGGAAAGCAAAACGAAAAAAAATACAACAACAACAACTGTATGTTTAGTCAATAGGTTTTTTTTTGTTTAACGAAAAAAAAGAGAAATAAATGACAAGGGGTTTCTATTTACGCCTATTCTCATTTGTTCCTTGTCGATTTTCACTGTGGATCCCTCTGACACTTACTTTTTAGGTTCGTGTGTATCACACATCGAAATATATATATATATATATATATATATATATATATACTTGTGGAGAAAGGTCAGAGGACGAAACCAAAGTGAAAAAACTTAGGAAAGTTAACAAAACCATGACGTACAGTGATGAATGAATAGAGAAAAACAAAACAAAAAAAGAAGTAAATCCATAATAAACAAAAAATCAATACATTTTATCACATTGTATACCTTTTATTTTCTACATATTTCTTCAACATCCTCTTTCTATTAATAAATATTATTGTGAACATTCAATAATAATGATAATAATCCAAGATAATTGTATATTATATTCGATTAATCGATATAGAGACATGTGGATGTGTGTGTGTATATATGTAAAACATTAAGATAATAATGAGAAATGTATGATTGATTGATTGCCGGCTTTAAGTAGTATTCATCATAATACGTACACGAGAACATGTACCTGGTCATGTTTTGTTTTCTTCTTCTTCAAATAACTATTATAATCCCTATGATATACACTTATTGAGAATGATGTTTGAATGTATTTATAAAGTTAGATGGAAATCATGAATACAGGAACAACAATAAAATCAAAGAGATTAGATTACACACATACAACAAATATAAATGAAGTTAATCAGAAAATGATCATCAATCTGTTCTCCTATCGTCTTTTAATTATTAACTATGATTAGTGAAATACTTGCAAAAAAAAATATAAAGAAAGATAATACACATAAAACATCGTTATTATGGTGATGGGTAGTGGGGATCACTATCAAAAACACGAACGTCAGTAATTGCATTCTTCTTCTATCTCTCTCTCTCTCTACAATTCGTGTACATGAAACAATGTAAACCACTAATGAAAAATGATAGGTTTCTCTGAACACATTTTTCCTTCCTTTAAATTTATGTCTGTCACTTGTAAACATTATGATGTATATATCTCTCAATTTAAGGGATAGACAAAAACTGTAATAGGGATCAGGAAATGCGAAAAGAAATTGAGCAATGTTATGTATATATATGGTATGAAACTAAACGCATATAAGTACAATAAATACATCATGAAATGTGAGAAGGATTCTCAACTTTTACTCCTCATGAAAGTGTGTATAATGGAGAGAAAGCGAACGAACGAGAGAGAGAGAGAATGAGGTGGATATAATCCCTTTGCTACTCGCAAAGACAGAGAGGGAGAGAAAGTGAATGAAAAAGTACAAGATGGTTAATATATGGTATTTGTTGATTATTTATTCATAAACATATTGGATACAATAGAGGATGAAACCAGATTATAAAATGGTAAATAATACTAGATTTTCAATAAAAGATTATAAAATTCCAATATACATCAACATATATATATATATATATCCTCAATGTTAGTTGTTTCTATGTGTTTTATGATATCGCTATTCATTTAACATATAAGAGAGAGAGAGAGAGAGGTAAGCTTATTCATCACTAATTAAAAAATCAAAAATAATCATTATGAAAAAGAGAATCTATGTGAAAATGTATGGGAACAGGGAAACAATTCCAATTGAATGATCAATAAATGATATATTATTTGAAATAAATCCAGTTCAGAAATGCAGAATTCAACTAACTGTATATACACATGATGTGTTTTAGTGGTTTTGATCAATTTATTCATTCATCATTTTCTTCATTATTATTATTGTTATTATTCTCCTCATTAATTTGATTATAATACCATTCACGATTGTCTTCTAATGTTTCTAAAATAGTTTGTGCATCTGGATAAACTAAATCCGACCATGTTTCCCATAATGGATGAACAATATAATCAATAAAGCTGATCTATTAGGTACGTGCATGTATGTACAGGATATATAGCAGATTTGTCAGTAAAACGGCAAATTTTATTCAGCAGTGGTGGTAGGAGTGATAAAAGAGTAACCGAAATAAAAACAAACAGAAATCGGAAAGAAGAGCATTATAGAAGAAGCGGAATTTCTTTTATTTTTAAATAAAAGTTTGAAACGAGATTTAGTTCTGTATTCTATTTTTGAATAGTGACTATTATTGGAATCAAAGATAGGCATTTTGTCTTATTCGGAAATCTGAGTGTAACTGCTAACTAGTTGGTTGGGATAACCTTTTGTAATAGCCCAATCAAGCAATGTTTTCTGAAATACTCGTTTCACCAGTTCCTATACTAAAGAGGCCTTTTGGAAAACGGGAGATTTTGTAGTGTCTGGTACTATGTCAAGCCCACATGGGTTGCCCTAGATTCCAGACAGACCGGTTTATTCGAGCCACATTTTGACCTTGTTGATTATCCGCTTATTAACCTTGACTGCCTTTATATATGTATGTGTGCATTGTTTATCCTACTCATCACATGACTATAAATATTGCGTCACGCTTGGTTAAATCGAGTTGGTTCACTTGCTTTCTTCGCATCGCTTTCTCCACTTCGTTTCTCTGATGGTCTGTTGTGATCAACGAGTGTACGAAATATACGTATTCAAACTTCGTTCTCGTATTTGACTTATTTAATTCCTTTATTCACTAACATGATTCAAGTCGATAATTATCGATAATCATACAGTTAAATTTAAGTTAGATCAAGGCCTATAAAAGTGGTAAGCCGAACTTCGAACTAAAGGCAACCTGAAAAACTACACATGATAAATATTTCGCACTCTATGCATCCAATGAATGAACTTCTTTTGTTCATCTAAATGATGTATGGAAAAACGCATATTTTAGTCTAAAAGGTACAATAAATTTCTGTGGAGTTGTTGATACGCATTGTTGTTGATTATCAAAAAATAGCAATCTTGTTGAGATAAGGGGGGGACTGTTACCGATTGTTTTTAGAGATTTAACATGTACGTGTGTTTAGATTGTCTGGTGAGGCCCAGGACAGAGTAACAGGCGTAAGTAAGTAAATCTATCCAGCTCAAACTAGATTTGACCTGGTATTTGATGGGATGGTAGAATTCAATGACTAGTCAAATTCGATTATAAGTTATTGATGAGTGTTTCTACATTATTGAGAAGATTTTTCGACGTTTGCATAGAAGCTCTTTGCATTTTGGTAAGATTAATTCGGAGAATTGTGTTAGTCCCATGCAAAAGGTTAGCGATTTGAGTACTTTATTCAGCAGAGAAGAATGATAAAATATTGCTCTGTTTATATTGTAAGTGTAATGATGATCTGATTTGATTTCTTAGTAGTGATGGTGTGGAAAAATGGCAGAATTTATACTAATAAACGAAGGATGAATACTTTGTCTAATACTCCTTAAGAGAATGTCAAGTGTACCATGATGTAGACAGTGTTGTATTAGTTGTCTATGTAAAGGACTGTTATATTTTCTCAAGTTAGTCTATAGTGTTATATTCGTTATTCATTAAATTGAGAACAGCGATTTCCTTCATTCATCGTTATACTGAACGAGGCTATTTCAGTGGTACACAAGTGTGATAGCTAACAGGACTGAATTGAGGAGCTGAAATGCTATTCAATTTTTCTATTATGCCCTGGTACGGTCGATGGTGGGAAGAGTCCGCTCTTCCTCTCGAAATGCATTCACATGGCCTCGCCCACACAGCCACTGCTAGGGAGGTTTTACTATCTTATTGTGAAGGGGTGTTGTTTACGGAATTGAAAAGGACGAAAAGAGAATATCTGGTGCCTTAACCGGGTTGACAGATGCGGAGGATCCACCTAGGGGAGTTGGAAAACCCTGGTTCCAAACCACTGATACACATGGGCTTCAGGATCTTGACGAAGAAAATGGCTTATGGACCTATTGTTGGTTACCGGCTACTATGAGATTGCATCTTCTAACGTTGCTCCATTGCCTTGTGGACTAGATCTTTAGATCAAAGGTTTGAGGAATGACCCCCTAAGAAAACTATGTGCTTCGGTTTGGGCGGTCGTACTGTATCTTAGACCCCACACGAATCGAATAAAGTGTGGTATATATATATATATATATATATATATATATATATATTTGATGCCTCCTTGTATGAATGTTAAAATGTCTAAATAGATAACATCACTGACCAATATACAATTGATATGATATTGTCACTTAAGATCTAGTATATTTGTGAACATGTGTTTATAGGGTATTTAACTCATTAAATATTTACGTGAATTTTCTTTTTCTAACACAAATTGAATTCAATTAATAACATCGTTAAATAAGTTAAATAATTGAAAAGTTTAAATTAGCACAAATATTAATCAACGTATGATCACTAGTGACTGGCTTCACGAGGTATATCCTGGGGTTCTAGTGAGAAGCAGTGACCTGTGGATTTCAACCGGGTCTGTTGTGAGATAGTAACTCACTGAAGACAGTGGTGAATGTGTCGCTCAATTTCTTGAATTAGTTGAAGTTAAACATTAACACCGTTGGATGCCGGCCGACTCAGTGGTCTAGTGGTTAAGTGCTCGCGCGCGAAACCAGTAGGTCCTGGGTTCAAGTCTCGCGAGGCGAGGTCGTTGATGCGCACTGCCGAGGAGTCCCACGATGGGACGGGACGGCCATCCAGTGTTCTAGGTTTTCCATGGTGGTCTAGCTTCAACTGACTCATGATCTTAACCACTGAAATTTTCTTTTTCTAACACAAATTGGATTCAATTAATACCATCGTTAAATAAGTTAAATAATTGAAAAGTTTAAATTAGCACAAATATTATATCCTATGTATGTATCATATAAATTACCTGTGATTTTTCAATAGTTGCTGTATTTCGATCACATATTGGACTTATTTCAATGCCTAGTTCACGTTCTTTATCACCTTGTTGAAAAAGTTCTTCCATAACACGATTAGTCCATTGTCTATACAAATCTAATGGTTTAGCTGGATTACTTAAATCAGCACAATGTACCATATTTTGTAAAATCTAATGGAGAGATAAAGAGATGAATAAAGACTAAATAATAAATGTACTTTGATGAATTATTTTCTAGTTATGATCGATTTTATAAGTCAGTTATAAGTAATAAAGAATCTGGAATATA